ATGGATGATAACAGCCTTCTGAGCCTAGTAATAGGCACAGAAGGCCCCAACTAGCCCATATCAGCTGATAACCACTGATAACAGCTATTCAATCTAGAGATAGCATTAGATTTGGCTGAGACTTCCAGTTGCACATATATAAATATTAATGTAGTGAACCTCAACACTTTTTTCGTGAAGATATAAACAGGGCGAGACAAAAAGTTAAAAAGATAGTTCACCCAAAAACTAAAATATGCTTTTAATGTACTCACTCTAGGGTCATTCAATCATGGTCTGTGGAGATTCATAAAATGCAAATGAATAATTGCTGGCTTTTTGAGAGACAACTATTGTTTACAGGTAAGACAAAAAATAATACCTGTGGCTTCTTATTGTGGCCTTATGACCTACAAATGTCTCTGAGCATGCTTACTACAGTGTGGAGCTCTTGTTCTTGGTGCAAAACCATCCATTTGCAGACTTAAACTCACATGTGAGCTGTTGTACAATGAAAAGTACAGAAACGTGTGTTGCATTGTTCATCAAATACAATTTACTTGTAGAGCTGGGCCAATAAACGATATTATAGCGGATCACGATGGAATCTACATCAATACCAATGATAAGCTCCTCACTTTTTTTTACTCTTTTACTCTATATTGATTCAACACAATCACATAGCAGAAATGTGCAACAATGGCAATCTAAATGTGTGTTGTTATTAAAGATGTACACTGTAAAAAATCCGTAATTTTATGTTTTATTTCCGGCAGCTGGGGTGCCGAACGAAAATGCTAAATAACAGCCGTTAAATTACAGAAATTTACCATAAAATAACAGACATTAAATTACAGAAATTTCCTTAAAATTTAATTTCTGTAATTCAACCTCTTTTATTTTACAGTAAATTTCTGTAATTTAATGGCTGTTATTTTGCATTGTACCGGTTCGGCCACCGAACATTTATCGGCTAAAATATGCCATTTAATGGACCCTCTAATTTTTGTTGCTTCAGTTATTTTTGGGATACTCTTTTAAAACTGGAAGCATTAACAACTTGAATCGAAATGCAGTTAAAGTCAGAATTATTAGCCCCCTCTTAATTTTTTTCCCCAATTCTGTTTAACGGAGAGAAGATTTTTTTTTACACATTTCTAAACATAATAGTTTTAATAACTCATTTCTAATAACTGAATTCTTTTATCTTTGCCATGATGACAACAAATAATATTTGACTAGATATTTTTCAAGACACATCTATACAGCTTCAAGTGACATTTAAAGGCTTAACTAAGTTAGCAGGTTAAGGTAACTAGGCAAGTTATTGTATAACAATGGTTTGTTCTGTAGACTATTAAAAAAATATATAGATTAAAGACGCAAACAATTTTGACCTTAAAATGTTTTTTAAAAAATTAAAAACTGCTTTTATTTTAACCGAAATAAAACAAATAAGACTTTCTCTAGAAGAAAATATATTATCAGACACACTGAAAATGTCCTTGCTCAGTTAAACATCATTTGGGAAATATTAAAAAAGATTTTCAAAGGGGACTAATAATTCTGACTTTACTTGTATATATCAATATTATTCAATATGGAAAATAATTATTGAGATGACATTTTTGCCATATCGCACAGCCCTATTTACATGTGCTTTTAGATTTGCGGAGGTCCACTACTGGCCCCTGTCCCTGGTTAACATCAGTAATATGGCATTTAATTTTAAAAAGTAAGCTTTCCTTTTTTAGGTAAATTCCAATCCATACACTCTGAAAATGCTAGTTTTTTTTTAATTCAAATTCATGTAAAATACACACAAACTCAACCATTGGGATCAAATTTAATCCAGCGTTAAGGTTTTTTCAAAGTTTAACCCAAACTTTGGTTGAAATAACCCTCCATTTTTGGTGTAACAGAGTTTAGCATAAAAAAAGGTAAAGTATTACGCAATATTTACACAAACATTAACATATTATTATAATTCACAACACATACATACACAAACACAGAAACCCATGTCTCCCACATTAAACATGCAAATAGTTGCAGTTCCCCCTCAGGGAAGACCTACATGCAAATACAGTCATCCGCACCATCACACACAACACGTTCACATACAAAAGTGTTATCTTCATGCACAACCTTGAGAAGATCTGAAAACACCCAGCGTTCAAAACACATGCTGTCAACAAGGAGAAATGCTGGGAACATAAAAAAGCCATCAGCAATATGTAACCTCTAATATTAGCCTGGCCTGGTTTACTCTGTCTGAGCAGATCCCAGCTCTGCATCGAGTGTGTTTGCCAAGCCACAGACAGATATGAAGCCACCATACAGCACATAAAAGGAAAACACTCCTTTTTGGAGACCTTAAAACACTAAACATGGACTTCGCATAGGTAATCATTCACACATAAAGGATATCTCTCATTCTTTTTCTTGACATTATGAGAAATCTTTTGAGTTTCACTACTATCAGTTTCAGAATTTTTTATATAAACTAATAATAACTTTTATATACGTTTAAAACAGATGCATTACTACTAATGTTCAAATGTTTTCTCAATACTTTTTAATAAAGTTAATATTACAGATCGAAAGACATTAAAGGGCTGCACAAATAATAGCTAGAATAACAAGAAATATCATTTCACCATTGATATCACAATGTATGAATCTGCAATAGTCATATCGCAGGATCAAGTCAGTTTAAAACATTTGGACACATGACATTATCAAGTTTTCTGCTTTATGAATTAGATTAGATTTTATATATTTAAACAATGAAGACACATTGTACATTTGATTATTGAATATCTATTTTCTTAATACAGTTATACTCCACCTAAAACAATAGGTTTGTCTATTTCATTTTCATCTGTGTTCAGTTGTTTTCATCTGCTCTTTAATCGAGATTATTTGTCTATTTTTGTATAATTTAGTATATTTTATGCAGATGCGCTCCACAACTAAATCATCACAATCCATGTAAAATTGTGTTTTTTTTTCCAAATAGTCTTCTTCTGTATTTATATTTATATTGCAATATGTATCAACAGAAAAACAAAATATCACAATGTTAGTATTTTCAATTGCCGTGCAGCCCCACATTTAAGAGAATAATAGTGTTAAAAAAACTTAATAACAAAGCAAGTTATTTTTCTGTATTGAATATTCAAGATTTTTTTTTTTAGTATTGATAAGTATTAAAGTTTCCAGCTGTTTTCTATAATAATAAGAAATGCTTCTTAAAAGGTAAGAAAATAGTATATTTTATTTAAATAAGTTTTTGTGATAATAATAAATAATATATAAATAGATAATAGATAATAATAAAATTACTTTTTAAACTTAATTTACTTAAATTGTCATATTTTCTGAAACATTCATATATATATATATTAAATATGCAGTTAAAGTGTGACTTATTAGCCTTATTATTACTTATTAACAGAAAGTCTCACAGCATTTCCTATAATATGTATTTCTTTTGGTTTGTTGTTTCTTTTAGTTTGGCTGGAATAAAAGCAGTTTTTTTTTTTTAAACAATTTCAAATAAAATATTGTTAGCCCCTTTAGAAATATATATATTTTTTTCAATTGGCTACAGAACAAAACATTGTTATCAAATATCTTGCTTATTTATCCTAACTTGATTTGTAAACCAAATTAACCTAGTTAAGCCTTTAAATGGCGCTTAAAGCTGAATGAAAGTGTCTTGCAAAATAACACTTTAAATATGTGTCATCATGGAACAAAAAAAATGAATTTCGTGTTAGAAATGAACTATTAATATTATTATTTAAATCAAGCAACACTTGGGAAATATTTTTAAAACAATTACTAATTTTGACTTCACATGTAAATAAAAATAGGCTATCATAATACAATTGATGATATTTGCAATTTATTAAAAACTTTGTTCTGACAGATGTGTAAACTGTGTGTGATTTATTAATATTTTTGGCGTATATTACACCGAATGCCATTTCGGTGAGTTTCTTCTGTATATCCTTATAAAAATGTTTCCATGTGTACATGTAAAAATAAATATTCATTCATTCTTCTTCAGCTTAGTCTCTATTTTAGAGGTCGCCACAGCGGAATTAACGGCCAACTATTCCAGCATATGTTTTACACAGCGGATGCCCTTCCAGCCGCAAGCCAGTACGGGAAAACACCCATACTCACATTTACACACATTCACTACGGCCAATTTAGCTTATTCAATATGGCCAATTTATCTTCCTCAATTTACCTTTAACACATTTCTGTGGATTGTGAGGGAATCCTGAGTGCCTGGAGGAAACCTGGGTCAACACAGGGTCAACATGCAAACTCCACACAGAAAAACCAACTGACCCAGGTGGGACTCAAACCAGCGACCTTCTTGCAGTGAGGCAACAGTCATAACCACTAAGCGTCCGTGCCACCTCAAAAACAAATATTGACATATATTTACATTTATTTTAAAATGTATTTATTGTGTATTATTTATCCATGTATTTGATTTAAACATAAAATGTAACCTGACTTTTAGGCTTAAGGCAGACAGTTCTATCCAGTATTGTTTTGTCCGGTCAGAGGCAGCAGGTGTCCGACAGCATCAGCTGAGACTTTTAGTCAGACTCAGAGGATACCTGTACTGTTTTCTTCTTGGATGGCTCAGTGTCTAAACCCCACAAAGCCCTGCAGAAAGACAGTCTTTGATATCTTCATTCCTTCTAATAGCAGGAGATTTTGGGAGGGTTGCTATGCTACTGTTTGTTGAGGTATTGCCTTAACCAGACACTGGGGAGATAAGATGAAAGCGCTATGACGGTTTCTGTCTTGGCTGCCAGTCATGGTTTCTCTCTTTCTGTTTCTAGTTCAGCTCGTTCTTTTAGTTCTCATTAAACTCAGATTAGACAGCCATAATGAAAGAAAAGTTAGATGCAATAAAAACAGCCACATTTACTAAATCAACTCAAAAGTCACCACAATCATCTGTGTATTAATAAAAGAAACACACTCACAATGGTCCATGTTTAGGTCCACTTTCTTCTTAAGGTTGTCCAGTTGCTTTTGTAAACCCCTGGAGAAAAAACATAGTGCGTAATTCCATAATTACTGTTTTGATTGCTGTATGAAGCACTGACACCTGTTCACTCTTCACTGTACACAACTCTTCTGAAACTTTTCTTAGAAAGCAGACATGTCCCGACATGTCCAGACATGTTCAAGGGGTACAGGAGACCAGTTCATGCTGAAATATGGACTCTGCAGTGGACACACATAGAATATAAGAAAATATTTAGATAATATTTTTATGTTTTATACATATATGAACATATTTTATCTAGGATATATGTATTATATGTTATATATAACAAACACTCACCGGCCACTTTATTAGGTACACCGGTCCAACTGCTGGTTAATGCAAATTTCTTATCAACCAATCACATGGGAGCAACTCAATGCATTTAGACATGTAGACATGGTCTAGACAATCTGCTGCAGTTCAAACAGAGCATCAGCATGGGGAAGAAAAGTGATTTAAGTGACTCTGAATGATTGTTGGTGTCAGGCGGGCTGGTCTTAGTATTTAAGAAACTGCTGATCTAAAATCCAGTGAGCGCCAGTTCTGTGGGCGCAAATGCCTTGTTGATGCCAGAGGTCATAGGAGAATGGCTAGACTGGTTCGAGCTGATAGAAAGGCAACAGTAACTCAAATAACAACTTGTTACAACTGAGGTATGCAGAAGAGCATTTCTAAACCGTGAGGCTGATGGGCTACAGCAGCAAAAGACCAAACCTGGTGCCACTCCTGTCAGCTAAGAACAGGAAACTGAGGCTACAATTCACAAAGGCACACCAAAATTGGAAAATAGATGATTGGAAAAATGTTGCCTGGTATGATGAGTCTCGATTTTTGCTGCTACATTCGACATTTATCATCTTAGACTGGTTTCTTGAACATGACAATGAGTTCACTGTACTCAAATGGCTTCCACAGTCACTAGACCTCAATGCAATAGAGAACCTTTGGCATGTGGTGGAAAGGGAAATTCACATCATGGATGTGCAGCCAACAAATCTGCAGCAACTGCGTGATGCTTTCATCTCAATATGGACCAAAATCTCTGAGGAATATTTCCAATACCTTGTTGAATCTATACCCCAAAGGATTAAGGAAGTTCTGCAGGCAAAAGGGGGTCCAACCCGGTACTTGTAAGGTGTACCTAAAAAAGTGGCCAGTAAGTGTATATATGTTAAATGCTCATAAATGTATAAAACATATTATGTAAACATATATGCCAGAAAAATATATGTTCATGTATGTATAAAACATACAGTATTGCGCAAAAGTTTTTGGCCACATGTATTTTCACCAAAAAAGGTTTAAAATTGGTTATTTCTCTATTTTTCTGTAGCATGTCAGATTGAAATATCAATTTACATTTCTAAACATTATTTTTACATTAAATGTAAATATACAGTGAATTTATTATCTGCACAAGGAGAAAAACCTGGGGTAAAAGTGCTTAATATATTTAGCATTGCATAACTGAAAATGAATAAAGTACGCTATTGTTGCAGAGGTCACGAAATAATTTAGAAATAAATGATAACTTTTAAAAAATATGGATTGGAAAAATTGCAAGAATACAGTACGGTAGAGGACGGAACAACAGTCCACCCCTATAGTTTAATGATCAGACTAGGCACTAGGTTCTTTGCTGACACATTCTTATCTATTCTGTCCTTTCTATTAAAGGTGAGAAACATTAAAAAAAAATAGAACATGATGATGCCCCCTATAATAACACACGTCAAACATTTGGACATAATTTAAGGAGTGTTTGCATAAACTACACATCATTGTGAAACTCTACATTTAGTTTGATCTATAGTCCTGTCGCAATAATCAATATATCGTCTTATCACACAAAACATGGACATGACCTCAATCATTTTTGGTGATGCAATATATATTGCCCATACATAAAACATAGCTGTTGGCTAAATGTCGGCAAAGTAAAACACAAAAGCAGCTTGAAGCGGAAAGCACAAGTGTGTAATAAAGTCTAGATTGGATACAGCTGCGCATCAATATAGCATCATTTTTGTGACACTGTATAACAATTGATAGTTTTACATTACTGTGACGGTTGGGTTTAGGGTTAGGGGTTAATAAATAACAATTAATGGTAAATTTTATAATTCTTGTTAACTTCCGGCTAACTAACCTTATCTGATCTAGCAACAACCCGAGTATGTCCGCGATCTGGAGGTACAGTATTATAAAGTTGATGATGACAACATTGCCATAGCAAACTGTGACATATGTAAACTTGGCATTGCAAGAGGTGAATAATTGATGTTATTTATTACTTGATTGTTCAAGCTACCTCATAAAAGTGCTCTGTTTGTTAACAGAGTTGTTGAATGTTAAATTAAGTTGAATTAAATAAAAAAATAAGGAACTTCCTGGATCTGTTTCTTCGCTCTATTCTTTTTTTTTGTATTATAGAAGTAACGGATCGGGTTTCGGTATTGGTAAATACTCAAAATCAAATGACTCAGACTTGAGTAAAAAAGCCTGAAAAAAGCTGCAAAAAAGCTAAAGCAAAAAAACCTGATCGGGACATCCCTAATTTGATATTAACTATTACAGTATATTTTCATGTGGGTGTCTGACAACTGAAAACAGATCGGGTAGCAGATTTCACAGCACTCTGTTACTTTTTACCTTGCACTGTTTTCTTAACATTTGTTGTTATTAATTTATGAAATGCGGTTTCAAATTCTGCTTTTGCATAAAAATGTATACTAAGTAGGATAAACTTTTTTTTTTTTACACATTTATAAAAACGCTGCTTTATTAGTCTTTTAAGCGATATTCCAGTTATGCGCATACATTTAATTTGCATCTTTGGATGGAAACATAGCTGCTGTCAGTTGTAAACACTTTTGTCTTCCATTTGATTTGGTCTATTGGCCTTGTTACGGATGTTTGACTGTTAAAGAACATGACACAAACATCACCGAACTCCTACAGAATGCAACCAATCAGATGACGACTTTGAAACTCGTAAAGTGTTTTTAATTCTATAAATCAAATGCATTAGATGTTCATATGGCGATCATGAATGTAAACTGTACATTTTAACACTGGAATGATTGGAGTCAACATTAGCTTGAAAGAAATTAGTTTTGTGTAGAACAGGATTTTTTTTTTTTGGACGGCTAAGACTGTCTTTGTTATCTTCATTCCTTAGTAATAATTTGAATGCTAATTATAAATATTAAAATGTAATCTTGAAAACATTTTAGTCTCCCTATTTAATATATGATCTTTTGTTGTAGGATGTCGCCAATATGGCCGCCAAGTGAACTGGCTTTCCATTAAAGGGACTTCTCTAACAGAAGGCATTGAGTCCAGTGGCATATGTGTGATCTGTACGCCACTGGGACTGGAAAGCCCCTTGATTTAGTAGGTACTACACCGTCACTGAGCAAGTGGGAAGATTACGCAAGAACCTGTGTTGCCGAGGTAACAAGGACAAGGTCTACATATGTCTCCAGGCTTCCACCTTGAGAATTTTCTGAGTCATGCATTATGCGAGTGTGTGACTGTACACATACGAACGAAAATGACAGTGGCACCCTCATACAAATGGACATGTTTGTCTAGGACATGTAACGTAGTGTGTTTGCAAAGCTCAATATAAGTAGCATTGTAGCAGGTGGTATAACATCCATTTACCGTATCTCACCCTCACACAGTTCTAAACCTGTATGGCTTCTTTTTTATTCTGCAAAACAAAGGAGAATATTTTAATGAATGTATTTTTGTCCTCGTGATGAAGTCAATGATGTTGTTTGCACTTTAAAAATTTCTCCTGTTATGTTCTTTGGAAGAAAGTAAGTCATGCAGGTTTGGAACAATTGGAAAGTACAGTAAATGATGACAGAACTTTAATTTTTGGATGAATTATCTCTCTCAAGTACTCTGTTAACTTCTTAAACAGAGCGACAACAATAACAGAGCCAAATCTTTCAGAAAGTAAAATGTTTTTCCATGTATTTCCGAGCCAGTATTTCAAGCATTAAGCCAAAAATAGCTCTGGCCTACACACTCTTGCTGAGAACACAACCCAAGAATGAAGGAGCAGCTCAACCACTTTACAAGCAGAGACTTGAAGAACACCATCTTTGTGTTCTTTTGCCATTGCCAACGGGTTGTGGAGGGCTACGTTCAGTGGTCAGAAGTGCTGAATGCTTCAAAAAAGTGAGTACCCAGACTGGTCACTAGATATTTGAGGCTTCCAGCAAGGAATGCAATAACATTCCCTTTATCAAAAGGCTTAATAAGCACAGGGGAGGGGCACCATTGACTCAATAGTGGTTTTGGCAGCGTAACAGAGAGAGGAAACATAAGAAAACACACAAACAGCAATTATACAACCAAGCTATTATAAAGCCATTACTGGATGGACCATCTCTAATCACTGTCACTGCTTTGCCACAAAATCCTGGGAAATAGTTAAATCTACACAGAAATGTGAAATGTTGAATTAGAGAAAGCCATGTGAAAATGAATTCCCTCCTTGCGTTTGCAAGTAAATGATAAAAGCTAACAGACGATTGCTGAACTAGCAAATCCATATTTAAAATCAATTCAATAAAGCTGCATTTTACTTCCAGTCACTATAAAGAAACATCACTATTCTTTTTTTCTTGCTCTCACGTAGGCTATCTTAAAGTTAAGTAATCATTATTTTGAGAACCATTATTCTGAATTTCGTTCTTGGTGAAAATACTGAGGTGAACAGGTGGCTTGGTCATGACAAATGTAATTGTGTGTTTTGTCCCTGAGTGCCAACCATAGACTGTAAAAGATATGCACGTAGTATTCATGACATCACCCAAAGGTTTTTGAAGAAAAAACTACCAGTAGGTGTGGCCAACCGTCACCATTTTGTTTGCGCGTCATCGCACTGACCGGGGGATACCAAACAAGGGCATAGAGGCGGAGCTTGAGCAAACCCACAGAGGCCTGCTAGCATTTTGCTTAGACAGGTTTTT